ATGCAACAAAGGTCACCATATATATTGTTTAAAACCAAAACTGACGGTAATTGCTTCTCCGTTAAAATACATAGTTTCTTTTATAGCCCACTAATTAACAACTTGCTAATTTGTAGACTGTGCCGGAAGGAGATTGGTATTGTAAAACGTGTAAGCCACCAACGAAGTCGAAAGAGAAAATTAAGATGCGAAAGAAGTTCGAAGAAGAACTGGAAGAAGAAGTAATATTGACCAAAGAAACTCGACACAATCGGGCTAGACGCGTTCTTGAAAGCGAAGATGAGGAGGATCGAGAGGATAATGAACTGGATCAGGAAAGCGATGAGCATATGTAAGCATCGCGGTGGGAGATTTTCACTCGCTGAAAATATTTAACAATTCTTATCTTTCAGGAGTACTGAACCAATGAACGTGTGCACTGTGTGTAGAAGTGGTGGAAAACTGCTTAGTTGTGACGCCTGTTCAAACTTGTACCACATAGAATGTATAGAACCTCCTATAACGAGAGCACCTCGTGGAAGGTGGTCTTGTACAGACTGCAAGGATAAAAAAGATAAGAGATCCGGTGCAAAATATGGTAAGATATTAAAACTGAAGCATAAGTACAGGTGCAGTGGCAGCAAAAAACAGTAATAAATATATAATATTTAGCAGTAGTTTACTAACGTATTCAGATTATAATGAACACAATTTCTATATTAAATATTAACATAATAAAGCGGTTTCTCAGCTTTGATTGTGTTGTTAGTGAGGGGGCGTGAAAGGGAAAGAGACAAGGAGAGACTGTGCGCTGCAGCAGCACGCTCTCGCATCCATGGCTTTGCCAAGAGCCTCCTCACTACAGAATCTACAGACTGGGACGGTCTGTATTGTAACTCAATTCTATTTTATTTAATGCACTTACATATTTATACATTGTATTACAAATGAAAGTACAATTACGTAGATTCAAGTTCATCGTTCCGGTAGATCAGGTTCCTTTGCATGTACTTACTGAATAGCTTTATTTTTTAGTGCGTTTTAACATAGCGTAACGACGTTGATGTCCGTATCTTCATAGAAAAGACCGGAAGATTATTGTTCTATGTAAACGCTTTGATGACGCTTTACATATGCTATAAATAAAATTATAAAAATCAATATTACATCACATGCATCAATTTTAATACATAGACAGTAGCAATTCCGAAGACGCGGAACCAAGGCAAACCAGAAGAGCAGCAAAAAGGGCTGCTAAAATAGAAGAAGAAGATACAGGATCGATCAAAGGATGCATGTCGAGACTACAGGAGTTACTCGCGGATATTAGGCATCACAGGGATTCGTGGCCTTTTTTATCACCCGTCACGAAAGCTGAAGTTCCAGATTATCACGAAATTATTTCCAATCCTATGGATTTTGGTACAATCAAATATAAACTTGACAATGGAGAATATGAAACGTTGGAACAGTTCTTTAGTGATTCTCAGTTAGTATTCAATAATTGTCAAGCTTATAACGAAGAGCACAGTTCCGTATATAAGTAAGCCTAACTAATATAAATATTTAAATATACATATAAGTTCGGATGCCAGAGATCATTGTAATCTTGTGTACTGTAATCACTTAAGTATCATCAAAATCTTTGGCTTCCGAACATCTGAAACAATACATGTGTCAAGAGTTAGACTATGTTATGTTAAAAATAGTTCCGTCTATAGAGCAGGTATGCGGTTACTGAAGTACATTGAGAAACGGTGTAAGGAATTGGGGTTGCATTACGACGAGGAACTGTTGCGACCGCCAGCGAAGAAGCCGAAACTTGATGAAAATATTCTTGCTGATAGCGAAGACGAAGACACAGAAGAAAAGACAAGATAGAAGTGAAGTACATGCTTCAACACGTTACACATATTGGATTTATTCTCTGATTTCTACACTGATGTCAAACAATGTACAAATTCATACTTCGGCTAAGGTGTCCTGTAAATCATATATTATCGAAAGACTCCATTTGTTAAAAACTAGAATATCCCATATATAATTTACGAAAGTAATTCACAGAAACATGCGATAAAATGGAAGTATAACATATACAAAGTGTTTCTTCAACACTTATGGAACGTTTTTATCTTCCCTTAGTCTTGCTAAAATAAAAAAAAAAGAAATATGCACAGTATTATTCGTAGAATTTTACGCATAATATAATTGCTCTCACATATTTTTAAGAGTCCGATATAAAGCGTTTTATAAACACGCAAGCAACCGCGGAAGCAATGAAATTAGTTTCGTTCGTTCGAGCTAATACAGGAGGTAGTTTTTTGAGTTAGCGTTAGTATAAGAAAAATTTGTTATCAGACAAATATCTTTGCATTATAATTATTTATTATTTTAGTTAATTATTTTAGCACTACTTTTACGATTTCATCTTACGTTTTCTTTTCATTACGCAAACATTTCAAGGATTTTCCTAGATGTATTTTAGATTTTCAGCTCTTATTCGAAGTCCACGTTTACATTAACGTTTTATTCTTTCCCTGCCTTCTACAGTATGTATAAATCGTTCAAAGTGCGATAATGTAATATGACTGACAACTTGAAGATTAGTACATACATAATAAACACGAATAACTTGTTTTTTAGTGCAAGCTCGAAAAAAAAAATATTCATAGGATACTTTAATTAATATATAACAACAAGTACAATTATTATATCTATACTTGTATTTATATTTAAACAAGCAGATATTTCCAAGAATCAACTACATTGTTATATATTGGGAATTATACATTTTATAATTTAATCATTCTTGTTTTTGATTTTGCTAAATTATTAACAAATTAGTGGTACTTACATTTGTTTGAAAAAATCAACCTAATTTAAGGACATTGAAAATCTCAGGCTGGCCCTATGCAAAATCTATGGTACAAATTATCATTATTCTTTATACTGTACAGCAGTTGTAGGAACAATTCTTTGTATTCATGTACGTTTTATACAATTAATTTGATAATAAACTTTTAAAATAGATATTCAATTAGAATTTGTTCATAAAATAATGTTAAACAAATTAATTAGGTATAAAGGTCTTTTTAAAATTTACTAATTTAAATATTATCTTGAAGATGCTTATATATTTACTTCATACATGAATTTTTCTTACACATTATACTAAAGTATTTTCCTGTATAGCTCAATGATGATGACCCATTGACGAAAATTCTTTTTTGTGTATCTCATCCCATACTTTCACATTCTCTGGAGAATAAGCTGAAATGCAAGACAAAAAATATTAATAACTAGACTTGCAATGGATAAGATAATCTTAACTAATTTTATAAATTCATTATACTTACTGAGTCTTTGTATCTTATAGAAAAGTGGTGCAGTTGCTATTATGCTGATAAGCCACCATTTAAATACCCAACTTTTTGGGCTGGTGAAATACATTTTAAATGGAAATTGTGCTACTTTTGCACTTAGAGTATATGGATATTTCATGGGTCTTCTACCTTCTGAAGACATGGCTAAAAAAGATTTAATGATTAGTTTTATTATTCAAAGTGTCCTCTTCTTATATTGTGGCATATCATTTGCATGCATACAGAAAATGTTATTAAAGTTATTAATCTTTTAAAAATATAGCTGTTACACAGTGCATTTAGTAATATAGAGACAATGTAGGGTTGTGCATTAATGAACAGGTGTGATATTTGTCTTAACAGTAGGCAGCATTTTCCTTAAACGTGTGCAAAACGAAAAAGTGGTACCAGTACTTTTTATAAGGAATGTAATTAAACAATATTACATTCTAACTACGTAAATGAACGTACTAGAATTATACTGATTTCTACATTACTTTTGTTACCTTGCTTTAAATTTGTATTAGATAATTGGGTTAACCACCGAGACATAATTATAATAATGAAAGCTTTGAAACACAATATCAATTGAAGTTGATATTAGAAATGATACCTTTTTCTTTTAGAAAAACGAGGAACAATTAAGAATTATTACAAATAAGTCCAAAGAGCTGCACAATCGACAACCACGGAACAATATTATATAATCAGCAACCTACTAAAATATATCGAATAGTAGTTGTCCACGATAGTGGCCTAAAATACAGCCATTTTATTGGTTAAAAGTTGGACGGTTTTTTGGAAACCTACATACTTGATATATTCTCAAGAATTCTCTAAAACTTTTCGAATGAATCGAGTTTACAGTAGAAATTAGACATGGACTTATGTTAAATATAAAGTACGAAGGAATTAAGTGGATTCGGAAATGTTGCTGCTCACTACGCCGCTCAGTGAGCGGGTTTTATTAGTAGTGGCGCTATCGATGGTAAAACGCCCAAGCTTGTAGTGAAAATAGTTCCCACTGTACCTGCTAGATGTTGCCACAAATAAATTATTATTTATTTTATTATAAATGCATAATTAATTCGATTATTTGCTTTGTAATGATATAATATTTCATTTTATTAAATTACTTATGTATGTATCTAGCTTATTTGCGTAAAATAAAATGTAATTAATAGAAAAACTGTAAAAACTATTTTTACTTCAAACTTGGGCGCTTTAGCACCGATGGCGTCACTAGTGCTAGAACATTAATGGCGCGGGAATTACAAATTTTATAAGCCATATATTAAGATTACTCTTTGTTATGAAATGTAAGAACCGCCTCTTTTTGGAATACAATATTAGCCATCCCTTTTTTTTACGTAATTGTTATTGCATTAAACTATATTAACTTTTTATTTAAAACCAAAGTTCAAGCATAACAAAAAATTTAAATGCAGCCACGTGATTACAGTAAGCTATTTTCCAAAATATATATTATATGTATTTGTTTAAATACGAAAATGTAACTTGTTAAACTTAAGTGATAAATAGCACAGCTATCAATCAATTAGTAAGGTTGCAAACATCGAACATGATCTTCGCAAATTTCTTCGAAATGAAATTCGTTGTATAAGAAAACACCGATTAACTTTTCGGACAGGTGGAACTCTCTCTATATATCACTACCTGTTCACGTTTTTGAAAAGAACAAAGCTTCTGTCAACTTTATCAGATTAGTCCTTTAGCAATAAAAGATAAAAGTGTAAACGTAGCTCGCGGCAATTACGTGAAAGTGTCACCTTCAGTCCACCTTGCCACACAAACAAATCATTTAAAATATTCACAAAGATTTCTGTGTATATGAAACGAGTTATAGTGAACGTGTGCGAAATATCAAAGAATTTTACTGAAAGAATTTTCTAAGTACGAAATATTGTGCCTGTAATTGCCATGAGTTCTATAGAGGTTGTAAATCCTTCCTATTTAAACTTAAATTTTAAACATTTTAAATTGTTCAACCAACGATGTACAATAAAAAGAATAATTTCAATTTTATTAAGGCAATATGTTATCAAATTCGTAATATTTCGAGTTAACAAAGTTTACAAATTTGTTGCTACATTTAGTTTTAAAATCATATGGTAGTTTGTCTAACCTTCATCTACGATATTTTACCAGGGAAACAATGTTGGAGATACAGAAACTGAATTATTTAATGCAAGTATATTGGAGCGATTATCCTTGTCACAGATTGAGGGTTTATTAATTAGGCCTTTAAAATCTGATGATTATGATAGAGGTAAAGCAAATGCAAGAAGAAGTTTTGTTGCTTATAATGGATATTATTTGTTAATTTTATTGTGTCTGTTTAATAGGTTTTTTACAGCTATTGTCTCAGTTAACTGAAGTTGGAAATGTTAGTAAAGAACAATTTCTAAGTGAGTCCTCTAAAAATAAATTTTAAAGAAAGTATTAACTACACTATAATAAAAATATATTTTATATTATTATTAAATTACACAGGCCGTTTTCATATGATGAAAAGTACAGGTAGCTATTATATCATTGTGATAGAGGATATAAGCATTGGAAAAATAATAGCAACTGCAACATTAGTTGTTGAACAGAAGTTTATTCACAACTGTGCTCTCGTATGTTTGATCTTTTTATTAACATTCTTATATAAAATACAAATTATAAATAATTAATATGAGAAATCTATTACAGAGGGGACGTTTAGAAGACGTAGTGGTAAATAATAAATATCGGGGTAAGCATTTAGGAAAATTAGTAATAAAAGTTATATTGCAATTAGCACGTTATTTGCGGTGTTATAAATTATCATTGGACTGTAAAGATCACCTTATACCATTTTATGAAAGTTTAGATTTTAAACGTGAACCAAGCAATGCTAATTATCTCAATATGAGATTCCCCAATGAAAATACTACAGAACAATCTCATTTATGACATTGAAAATATTATTTCAAAATTTTATAAAATAGATTACTTGCATACTCCAGTTTCCAAAAAAATAAATAATAAAACTTTAATCAGTTTTATATAAATTCACGGGATTAATTAAAAGTTTTATTTTAAACTCCTATAAGTAAAATACAATTTTATATGAAAAGTATCTGTGTATATTTTTTTAAACAAATATTACAAATGAAACAGTATGCTATGGGCTATGCAAGTTGTGGAAATAATAATATGCGTTTATATTTTACCGATCACGAGTATAATATTTTCTAAGCATGTATAATGTAATAAACGACATTGGAAAAACAATATAAAATCAATTTTCTACAATTAATAGAAAAACGATACTTGTTTCGCATTCATCATATTTTAATTAGTTATTAAAATTCTTTTTTTCAAATACAGCAGTGAAGTTCTTTAATTATGGCATTTAAATTAGAGCTTTTTAGCAATAGTATTCATTCGTAATTTCACCGCTCTCTTCGCTTCCATTTGTCTTTGTCTTGCTAATTTGCGTTCCTCTTGTTTTCTTCTGACTTCTTCCAATTTATTATTACCGCTAAGCGCACCGGTAGGTTCAATATTCCCTATAGAATGAATTTTGATTAAATAAACATTATTAAACAATAGAATTTCCCCATGGCGATATAAACATACCTGATTGTTCTAAAGGTTGAAAATCATCTAGAGGTTGAAACTCTGAGTCCTCCCAACCTACCTCGGAAGATTCATTTTTATCTTCTATACTTTGCGCCGCTTCTTCCTCCTAAAAGTAACGTTCAAGTTTCATTTCTTTTTAAAACGAAAAAAATGATGGCATTTAAAATATTAACAAATACAAACAGGCTCTTCCTCCAAACTTGTCCATTGGTCGTTGTCCTTGTGAGAATGCGGAGATGGTGAAACGTTGCTCGTTCCGAGTGTTGAGGTGCTAGATGGTTGCTGTTCCATATCACCCCAATTATCAGCATCCCAACAATCCCAATCACAATCTGAGCTCGGATTTGTAGCATTCTGTAAATCATGTTCGTGATCGTGATCTAGCGATGTCATACTCGTAGCGCTACTCGTCGTAGCAGTAGTACTAGCGCTGCTTTGTGAACTGCTAGCTTGTTCTGTAATTCAATTATGTATTAATAGTAAACATATTTAACATTGGGCGAAATAAAAAAATACTATAACCTATAAATACCTAGAGAAGCAGGTTTATTTAATAAAATTCTTGATCCACCATGAGGATTCGATGATTTAGGTGTATCCGATTGACTGCGATAAAATTTAGCAGTAACTGCTGTTACAGCCCAACCAGCCCATGTTGCGGCTGCGTTACTAAGACTTGGCGTTGCTGTATTTACATCTGCCTCTGAAATAAAGTCGTTCGAATTTAATTACGTATTAATAATTTCAAAGAAGTGCTTTATATAAATACCCATGGATTCGCGCAGCCCAGGATCTTCCGATACTCTTTCAAGTTTCGATAAAAATCCTCGTATAGTTCGAAACGCGTTATCTCTTACACCTTTGTCTATATCCGTAGTAAGTGGACACAAAGCTGGTAAAATACGATTAGCAACTTCTTGTAGTAAAAAGTATTGCTGTGTTGCAGCTAATGCTAAGATGCTCGCCGTTCTAGCTGGTGGAAACATATCCCGCGTACCTCGAATAAACGCCCCGATTAATACCTACAATTGCATGTTATTTTAGCGCCAATTTATTACGAGTTACTTCGTAAGCTGTGCGTGAAATTTCAAATACTTTTTGTCTGATTTGAGGATGAAGGTGTTGAGCAATTTTTCCTAAACAAACTGTAGTATTAGTTCGTATACCGCCGTGTTCGTCTTTCGACTGAAGTTTAGCAAAATACCTTAATGTTTCTACATTAAGATTATTATAATCTAACTTTGGCGCTAAATGTACAACAGATTTTATTGTTTGTTCTCTAATTGCAGGGTTTGTATCTAGAAAACCTCTTGCTACCTGTAATAAGTAATAACAAAAAATTCAAACATGGCTTCTTTGATACGATAAAAAAGAAATAATAATCCCAATAACCTGCGGAAAGATAGCTTCGTTAACCGTTGCTGGCTGCAAATGATCGACAAATCGATCTAATTGCTGCAGTAAACGTAGTCTTGTCGCTCTATCATTCGACGCGAATAATTTCACTACGCATGGCACAACTCTACGTTGATATTCGGCATCGGGTAATTGGCGTCCAAGCTGTAACAGAGGCGGTAGTACCGCACTTCCAGCATCGCCAAACTCGAAAGCAGCCAATAATTGCGGTAAAATTTTATATCTGCCGACACCTTCTGGAAACGATTCTAAGTGACCAGCTAACTGCGAGAAAAATCGACCCTTTTCCCCTCTCTCTTTCATTTGAATTTCTTCTAAAAATAAAAGTGCATCGACGAGTTCGTTTTTGAAAAATCCTCCATTACTACGACAACGCGCTATCACATCGGCAGGATTTGGTCTTCCCTCCGCATTTCCACTAGTCAACTCTCGATACACTACTTGTAATTGTTTTGGAATCTGAAAAATGACGATCGAATTTATAGATCACTTTAAGTGTAATATCGATCTTAATTACAACGAAAAACATACTTTGTCAACAGTTTTAAGTTGCGTACTCGAACTTAGCGGACCGTTATATGTCTCCCAGATCAGGCATCCGAGTCCCCAAACGTCAACTGAGCTGTTTTTTATTTATTCATCAGTTTCATAGCGTTAACAATAAACCTAAATGTTTACATATAGAAAAGCTGATATGGTAATGTAAGTTTGCAAATAAGTTAACTATTTCTTACTATTTACCAAGCAAGAGAATCTATTTTAATTACTTTGTTAATGCTTTAGATCTTAAGTAAGCTACAGCTATGAACAAAAATAATATAGTTATTTATCTCTTGAAATTATATTTTCAATAACATGTATTCTAAAATAAAGATGATGTACATTTTACATATACAGTAAGGATTATACACAGGCATACACATGCAATTCTTTCCTTTCTATCAGAAATTTTTTTACCATTTAGTAGCTGGCTTAACATTTTCCTTGGCATCTGGAGGATGATATGCTTGGAATGTTGCTGGCAATGTATTGTAAACAGCGTCTACTGCTGTCATATATTCAACTCCACCAAGTTTCCATTCTCCACTTTCTTCATTCACAAATACTGTCCATAAATTGACATTGTTATGTCTTAGATTACCATCATTATTTAAAAAATTTAATGCTCTCTGTTGAAATATATTTCACATGATATATGTTCTATGAAGACTGATATTATTTTCTCTGCTTTGGTACATACCGTGATTTGAAATATTCCCCAAGAAAAATATAACTCCTTTTTGGGCTCCTTACCAGTTTCAGATTTTTTTGTCAATCGATTATACAAAGGCTCTACACGTTCTGTTGCTAAATAAATCATTTTATCAGTCTGAAATCACGAGATATATTCAAAATTTCTGTTGTTAACCATATTGTTCATAATATACTCTAATCATACCTCAAGACTGTCAAGATATGTGAGTATACTCGGATGCCTGAGCGTCTTCAATCTTTTCACTGCTGAGCGAACTATGTCCAAGAGATGTTCATTGCCATTTTTAAATTCGAAGACAAACACAGAAACGTCTTCCCCTCCTGTGGAACCCTGTGTAAAAGTATTGCAAGTGATAAAAATGAAAATAATTAGGAAACACCATCGCAAGGAACAAGGATCAAAAGAATCTTATGTATGTATATTTCAATTTTAATAGAAATTAGATATTTAATATTAACAAAATTTGAATGAATATCCATAGCAAAGAGTTTCAGATTTAAGATTTTACCGCGTCAGGTTATGATACCTTTTTCTTCGCCCTGTGCAACGTCCAGACACTCTTGTCCTCCAAACCAAGAACTGGTTCGCCGATTTCGTAGGGAAAATCTTTGGTAGGGTCTCTCGAAAAAAAGGACCACATATTTGCAATTTAACTACTTATCGCGGAACAAATCAGTCTCATTCTTCGACTAATGCCACATCGTGATGTCATTGACAGCTACGCATCAACTTGTCTTCAACCGCGCTGCTATTTCGCGACGATTACGTGCTCGCGTTTCGCGTTTGAAGATGTATCAGTTCTGTGTAAATCGATGTGAAATTCCAACAAGTGCGCTGATTAAGTTGATTTATTATAGTCTCAAATCAGAGAGTTCTCTTTGAAGCCTTCTCGCGACACTTCATCGTTGCATTAATGTTCCCTCCCAAGTATGAACGAAGTTGGTCCGTCTTTGGTGACAACTTATGCTTTCAAAAGTGGCAAAGAGTACGTTGTGAAGATAAAAGTTACTGCTTTTAAAGAATGTCATCGCAATTTGGAGCTGACTGTTACCGATAAATATACCGGCGAGAATTGGCGGTCCTCTTACGATGCTGCATGTTCGTCCTTTAATTTTTCATTTCATCATATAATTCATACGTGTCATTTTACGGTTATGCCAATCATTTGCATTTCATGCTTTTATTTGTTCGAATTGTCCCGTATTTGTTATTGATTAAATGTATATTTTACTATTTCAAGATATCGAAAACTTGACCCACAAAACGGGGAATTACAAACATTTCGATGTGTTCGTGGCTATGCTACAATCTGGATTATTAAAAGTACAATTTGTAACATGAATCTTTAAATAAAGTAAACGAAGTTAAAAAAAAAGTTAATTGCAGACAAGCGAATCTATTACCCTGGATCTTCTCACGTTTGAAGATTTAGAATTGCTACGCGCGCGCAGACTTGAACGTAATTCGTGTTCAAGCTTGGGTAACGCAACAAATAATCGTCGATACCTTATATTAACATACACAGTAGAATTTGATAGGTAAGTATAATTCCCAACTTGTAACAAAACTTGTGGAAATAAAATTCTTCTGAAAAATATTAAATATTTGCAACTATAACAACCTCCTTAAGAATCCATTACCCATTACCACTCGAATATTGTGGTTTACCTGATCCAGTGATATTGCAATCTACCATTAGAAGATTACAAGTTGAAATTGAAAGATTGCAATCCACTGGAGGAAACAAAAATCTGCAAAGGCGTATTGAGCAACTCACAGCTGCAAATCAAAGACTTGTTCAAGAGAATCAAAGACTTACCAGTGGAGGTAGAAATAGACAACCATTTCAGTTCTTTGTAGATCAATTTTTCAAGTATTTTTAACATTTAGGAAAAGGTTTGAGACATTTATTGGGGTCTATCAAATCATTAGAGAACAATGTTGCTAAGGAACGTGCATCTTTTAGAACACAAATACAAAAACTTAAAGCAGAAAATGCAGCTCTGTTGTTGAAAGTACAACAGCTCACTGAGTCTGCTGGTAGAAAACCTGGAGATGGTAGCCCAGCATTAAAACGCTATAATCGTTCTCCTTCTATAAGATCAAATTGTTCAAACAGTAGACAAAGTAGAAGTCGATCTTCTTCAATTTCTAGTCGTATTAAAACTTCTAGATCTAGTTTATCACCAGGTATAATTATTTCTACTATATTTTCGTGAATCAAGTCTGTATTTTTCAAACTAACATTGAGTTGTTATGATAATTATAGGCAGTTCAATGGAATCTCTTAGAATTCGTAGATCTCCTTGTCGAAATATGAAACTGTATAACAAAACAAAGGATTCAAGTCAGTATTTTAAATAGTACAAAATATAATAATATTACTTTTAAAATTAAAATGTTTGTTCTAGAACTTGACCTTGAAAATTTGGAATCACGAATTCATACGTTACAGAAAATGTTAAAAGAAGGAATAAATCTGAATTAGGAAGTGAATAAATCGGAAGATTTTCTATAAAACATGCATTACTAAATGTATATTTAAACAAGTACATATTAGTATTATTATTATTATTATTATCATTATGCTTGTACTTTTTATATACAATACAATTGAGATGCATTTAAGTAGATTGGCAGATCTGTAAACAAAATAATCAGGTGTTTGGATTGCTATTGAAAATAACATAACTTAAATACATTCATGTGTGTGTAGTAAATTTTTCTTAAATTATATCTTCTTTTGAGGGTCATTGACAATTAAAAAAAGAGATTATATACACATGTATATAATAGCATACGAAAATTGTTACATGCGACTGTGCTTTTGATTATATACAAAATCTTGCACTGTATGTATTATGGAAAATATTTTTTATATACATTGCAGCATTATAAACCTATTTGTTATTTGGTGCCTATAATATTATCGATATTATATCTACACTATCAAATCACATTCATCAATAAAATAATTAAATTTGAGTTAACTGATTCTATCTGCTTTGACATCATGTTCATAGTATATTATGGCACGTTCAACTAATGACTGTTTTTCATTTTCTTTGTCATGTGTTTCCACATTTGTTTTTACATTCATATTTGCATCAAGTTTTCCATCAGTACTATGTGATCCTTCCTGTTCATTTGTATGTGTTACTATTGGCATGGCAGGTAATTTATTTTTTGTGTGTTTAGATAATGTTTTAACAGCTTCAAGTAGATACTGAATTTCAGTTTCTTGTTGGGATGTAATTTTATTTAAGTTTTCAATGTCATTTGTAAACTTTTGTATCTGTTCAAGACGAGCTTCTTCTTTCTTTGTTTCCTTTGCTACTTGACGGTTGTATTCCAACACTAGACATCCACCGGCAACACTGAATATGATAACCTCACCCATCAAATTTGCTCCTAATTCTATTGCCATAGCTTCGTTTAGTTTGGCAACTTTCGTCGGTTTACCGAGGTTCATTATATACATTTTAGCTTTCACTTCTGCCCAATGATAAACTGTAATTAAATCATAACACACATCAAAGATAGTTGAGCAAATATGAACAATGTTTAATAGCTATTATTAACAATGACATTGATGATGATTACATCACAATTAAACTTGAAAATTGTTAAAACGTATCAGCTTTATTATTTATTTTACTTACATTGCGCAGGAGGTATGATAAAATAGGTTCTAAATACAGGATGATTTTTTGCTTGGTTAACCAAAAACTTTGCTAAAGGTTTGCTAATTTGTTTAACGAATAACACTCCCAATTTAAGGGCCGGAAAAACTCCCACTACCATCTTCTCTTTGTATTTTCTTACGACTGTTTAAAAATTACGATCTGTTGGGTCAAAACCTAAAAATTATGGTGTTTGTGAATGAACATCGTGATACATTTGAAACGTGCTACAACTATGGATGAATTTCTAATGAACATATCAATCGTATTTGCTTGATATTCTATTCATATTTATACATGACATATTACGAATGTAATATTAATATAAATGGTTGTTTTTGCATTGAATGTCATTGCGAAAAAGAACTTAATTTCATTCTGTATTCAAAACCATTACCTCACCTCTGAAATTACTTCAGAGTATAGCAGACGGCCATAATGACACTACGAAGGATCTTATAATGTATTCTATTTACTTGTATTTTCTCTAATTTAATAAAAACTAATGTATTTATATATAATTCTATCTTTAAAAAATTGTCACATTTATAAATATTATACAAATTTATGTTTTAAAATTTTGTAAACCACTAGTATTGATACCTATGAATTGACAGTAGCATACTTCATGCGTATCGATAAACCTTGGTTTATCAATTAATTTTATTAGTTGATTTGTCAACGAAAAATAACTGAGCAGGTAAGAAATTCACGTAAATTGTAGAATAATCTAATCAATGAAGAAGGAAACAGTAATGATAATCATATAGTTTGTGTTCGTGAAAATCTTATCTTTACAGGTTACGCGATCAAAGAAGAAGCATACTTGAAGTTTTCATACATTATTAAAGTAACATTTATTGACTGAAACAATGACTGGTAAAATGTTCAAAAGCACAAATAACAATTACGCATTTATAATATGGGGTTTTACAATGCATTTAATATTGTTGTGGGGTATACTTGACGTGAATTTTCATTCTCCCATTATACAAGAATTGCCAAATGTGCCTCTTTTGAAAGGTGCACCAGCAAAAAGATTAGTTTTGTTTGTAGCAGATGGCTTGAGATACAGAACTTTTATTGAATCACCACCAAAATTTCTTAAGTAATAGACTTATTTGAATTATTTGTTGAAAACACTCAAGTTTACAATTTGGTTTTAAATGCAATGGTGTAATTTTAATTGTAGTCATGTGATGACACATAAAGGTGTTTGGGGTATATCTCATACAAGATTGCCTACAGAATCTAGACCAGGGATTGTTGCAATTTGTGCAGGATTATACGAAGATCCTAGTGCTATATTTAAAGGATGGAAAGAAAATCCTGTAGATTTTGATTCTGTTTTCAATCAAAGTCAGTTTTCATGGGCATGGGGGAGCCCTGACATTATACCTATATTTACAAAAGGTATAACTAACAAATCTTTTAATAGAATATTTTGTATTAAAATGATGGCAGATTTAAAACTCTACTTAATTTGAAAAATAGGTGCAAAAAGAAATATATATGGGGACAGCTATCCTCATGAATGGCAAGACTTCGATATAATGAGGGGTCAAATTTGGCGTTTAGATTCGTGGGTATTTGATAAGTACATAAATTGGCTTAGAGAAGAAGCCCAAAAAGTGAAGAATGTAGATCGTGTTATTCTCTTTCTTCATCTACTTGGTTGTGATACCACAGGTCATACTGCAAAGCCTTATTCTAGGTATTAAAAATGATCAATTAAGACTTTTGATATAAATATTGACTTATGTTTTTAATGAAATTATAATTCTATTAGCTTGAAATTAAATTTAAATACAGAGAATACGTCGATAACATGAATTATGTCGACCGTAAAATAGAGGAAGTTGTACAGATGACAGAGAATTTTTTTGGAGATCATGCTACCGCATACATTTTCACAGCTGATCATGGCATGACTGATTGGGGATCACATGGAAGTGGTTCCACAGATGAAACAGAAACGCCATTAATTGTTTGGGGTGCGGGAATTAATGCATTCAATTCTCGTCGCGATGTAGAACAAGTAGATATCACACCGCTGATATCTACTTTAATTGGCGCTTCTATCCCCAGCAATAGCGAAGTATATATCGACATAATATCGGTATACTTGAATATTTTTATTTCGTAAATATTCACGTGAACAATTCTTCCAGGGTGTTTTACCGTGGCAGTATTTAAACGATACGGATCTCAAATACACAAATAATGCTTTATTAAATAATTTAAAACAATTAACGTATCAAGTAAAAGCAAATCGCGAAATGATTTGCGAGAATAATGGATTTACAGATGGGAGAGAGAGAGAACTGGATTACAAAATTTCTGAATTAAATAATCACCTTGAAAGAAAGGACTTAAAAGAGCAATTAAATGAAACAGTTAATACAATTGAATTAGCTAAAGAATATTTGTCGTACTTTCGACAATACCAAAGATCGCGGTTTTTAATATATTTGTCCACAATGTGGTTAGGGTGGATAACACTGTTATTTTTTAAAATAGCTGGTGTTAAGAGACCTATTATCAATCGCACCGTTTTATTAATTTCAGATATTGCATTTGCATGTATACTAATTACAATATTTATTATATATGAAGGTACAGTGTCCCATGATTATTTACAATCGTTCGAAAAAGAGTAATTGATCTTTATCCGAATAAAATAGTTTCAGAATGCGGAAATTGGAGATTACCCTGTTATACATCTTTAGCTGTAATCTCTTTTTGGCTTGCCGTTCGATGTATAATTATGTACTCCGTAAAATTAAGAATTCACAATAATAAACGGCCTTGGATACAGGTCGTCGGAATAGTTTTGTTACTGATAACAATTTTCATGGGATTGATGCATAGATCGACTCTTAGCATAGGAATGTTATGCGCGGCTTTTATTAAAAATCGAACATCACAAAATACCTGGAATTTTGTTTGGACAGCTTTATCGCTAGCCGTTTTTCCATTATTACCTATTGTAGAACCACATCCTCGGATTTATGTCGTGTAAGTTTAGATCGATGCTAGACCATTATAATCTTTAAAGTAAATTTAATTTTAAATGTTTGTCTTTCAGACTTCTCAGCATATGTATCGTAACGATAATAGTTGCGCTAAAAGTCCAATCGAAGTATCGAAAAGTAGTAGAAATTTTTCGACTAATCATTACAGGATCGACTTATTTAGAATTTATAGATGGTCGAAGTTGGGTATCATGGGCAATTTTACTCACGACGCCATTACACATTTGTACTTATTCCACAAAATTAAAGGAAAGAATGCAAGGGGTTATGTTGGGTCTCTTCTGCCCACTTGCTTTATTATCAGCATCTTACGAACCTGTCTTCTTCATATTTCTTGTATTACATCTATCTTGTTGGCCAGAATCTGATGTAATTTCGTGTCAAAGTTACGAGAGGACCAAAAATCTTTTAACAATGGAAGAATTACTGAAAGCAGCAATTTTTGTATCCTTTTTTTCTACTATGTAATTTTTTTTAAATAATGTTTTAATATTGATACATCCTGAACTATTCATTCTAGATGTTATACACAGTATTGTGTTTCTTTGGAACTGGCAATATGGCAAGTATTAGTTCGTTCGATCCTTCTTGGACGCGTCATTTCGTAACGATGTTTTCGCCATTTTTAATGTTTTCATTGATACTATTAAAAATCAGCATACCTTTAATGCTAATTGGATGTGCGAGCCATATACACGCATCGTCCAATATTTTTTTAGCGGTACTCCTACTTGGAGACTGTTTATCATTACCACTAATATACAGTGTTACTCCAAAAGGAAGTTGGTTGGATATCGGTAGCGCCATCAGTAGATTTATAATCGGAATATCCCTTCCATGTCTTTTGTTGTTATTATATTATCTTTCGTACCCACTGATGACATTTATTCCGAATAAATTTAAGTTTCAAATGATTTTAGAAAAAACGCATGTTGTATAGAATGTAAAAAATGAATTATTTTCAACAAAGTGAGTAAAACACAGCTGTTATCTTTGTTAAGAATTAATATATATATTTTTAATATATATTACATTACAGTATGAAACCAAATTCGATACATTTTTTAAAACTATGAAATCCGAAATAATATCGTACTTTGATGACAATGATCCGTTATGCAAAAAATCTTGAATATGTAGTATTGGCTCGTTAAAGTAATTTTTGTTTGTGTAATGTGTCTGTTTATTATACTTAAAATTTAAATTCCTTATATTTTTTAGAAGTTTTCGAATCTTGACCTTGTTGACGCTTACGTTTACTCTGTAAAGATAAATTATTGTAATCAATGGAGTTATTAATATATTAAATATATAATATTTAATACTCACTTTTTGTCGTTGGACATGATCCTGAAGCATGTCTGATAAGTCTTCTCTTCTTAAATGAGCTTGTCGCGATCGCATAGTTTCCTCGTACCGTGACGCCATTGCTTCAGAGTCTAGATCCAATTCACTTGGATCTAACGCTAATTCCACTGCACCGTCTTTCTCTGTTCTGCCATCAGAGGTTGTCCCACTTACTCCACGACGTGCAGCGATTACGGATGGAGGTGCTTGACCTCCTGCTGCACCAGTCATATCGTATACATGCGTGCTACCCATCATGCTTGCTCCAAGTCCTTCCGTTCGCCGCTCTTGCAAAACAGTATACAGAGCAGGTGTATCGCCTCCTTCCATTTCGCTCTCAATTTTCTTCTTTCTTAATTCTATAGTTTCTGGAGTTTCTAATCCTGCGGGGATCGATGTTATTCCACTTGGTGTTATCAAGCCTTCCGCGCCGGGTGTAACCAAACCGCTTGCATCTCCATCCCCATCTTTTCCTTCCCCTTCGCCCTCTCCGCCTTCTTCTGCGTCTTCGTCTTCGTCTTCCTCTCCAGAAGATTCTGACTCAGGTTCACCCCACATACCCCTGTCTATTTCTTCGTCCATAGCGTCTCCGCCAGGAGTACGAGATATACCAAATACATCTCCATACAATGGCCTACCAGTTTCATCTACAGGAGGCTTTCCCCATCCACCAGCGTGATAACCAAACGCGCATCCTTCTGGGATCGGTGCATTCAAGCCAGGTATTTTTAAATTGGGATAACTCGGTGGTGGTCCATAACGTTGCATAGCGATTAACCACGGTGGCGGTACCTTGTGACAATTAGGTCCCACTGGCATACCAAGAGCAGTGCGCAGCTCGTCTGATAATTCTCCAGGTTTTTTTTCTTTCAATCGGGTCTCGAATTCTTTGCCTTCGTAATATAGATCGCCGTGAATGGTCATGCGAGGTTTCGTTTGCCACTTGAAAAACGCGTCGTGCAGTTTCTGATAATCGATATCTATTTTACCAAGTTTGGGCCTTGCTCTTTCCCTCATTTTAGCTTTCAATGTGCGCGTGTCGTCCCGTTCTTGAAGACTCGCCCTCATTTCTGTGATACCCGTGCGTTTTATAAAATCTGGTAGATCAAATGGATGCTTCTCTATACCGCGTTTCCCCTGTAGATATTTCCTCTTA